GACCCGGGGCTCTCAGTGACACCGCGGTCTTGGTGCTGGGAGCGCGCCGAGCGGCGCGCTCCCAGCACAAAGACAGGTACGCAAATATGCGGCCCCACGGAAAAAAGCCCAGGTCCGTGAGGCCGCATATTTGTGTTACGTCGGCGTCAAGGGGTTAAAGAGTAACTCTGTTGTCTGCAAAGTGAATCTGAATGGGAGTGCCTTTTTTATTATTAATATGCTGATGCACTTGCAATGTTCTAATGAGGAACGTTGCAGGGTCTTCATTCCTTTAAAAGGGATTACCCTTTTGGGAGTAATTCACGAAAAATAAAATTTTTATTTAAGAGGGTGCCTACATTGAGATTCCTAGTGCAGACTTCTGAAAAAATTAGTGAGCCAACCAAGGAGAAGGAAATTACATTTCTGAGGGTGTTCTGTACACCAGTGATGTACAGAACGCCACCAAGTTGCTATATTGCATTGAAATTTAGAGAAAATTACAGTGCTGCAGATTGAAAAGGTCATTTTTTAATTACAATATACAGTGGGGCAAAAAAGTATTTAGTCAGCCACCAGTTGTGCAAGTTCTCCCACTTAAAAAGATGAGAGAGGCCTGTAATTGGCATCACAGGTAGACCTCAACTATGAGAGACAAAATGAGAAAAAAAATCCAGACAATCACATTGGCTGATTTGGAAAGAGTTTATTTGCAAATTATGGTGGAAAGAAAGAATTTATTTGCAAATTATACCATATCTACTGTGAAGCATAGGGGTGGCAACATCATGCTTTGGGGCTGTTTCTCCGCAAAGGGACCAGGACGACTGATTCTTGTACAGGACAGAATGAATGGGGCCATGTATCGTGAGATTTTGAGTGCAAACCTCCTTCCATCAGCAAGGGCATTGAAGATGAAACGTGGCTGGGTCTTCCAACATGAAAATGATCCCAAACATACCGCCCAGGCAACGAAGGAGTGGCTTCGTAAGAAGCATTTCAAGGTCCTGGAGTGGCCTAGCCAGTCTCCAGATCTCAACCCCATAGAAAACCTTTGGAGGGAGTTGAAAGTCTGTGTTGCCCAGCGACAGCCCCAAAACATCACTGCTCTAGAGGAGATCTGCATGGAGGAATGGGCCAACATACCAGCAACAGTGTGTGCCAACCTTGTGAAGACTTACAGGAAACGTTTGACCTCTGTCATTGCCAACAAAGGATATATAACAAAGTATTGAGATGAACTTTTGATATTGACCAAATACTTCTTTTCCACCATAATTTGCAAATAAATTCTTTCCAAATCAGCCAATGTGATTGTCTGGATTTTTTTTCTCATTTTGTCTCTCATAGTTGAGGTCTACCTATGATGCCAATTACAGGCCTCTCTCATCTTTTTAAGTGGGAGAACTTGCACAATTGGTGGCTGACTAAATACTTTTTTGCCCCACTGTAGCTTATGTAACAATTGTATATGCTTTTTTTTTTTATTTGCTACTATTTCCCACGAAAGTGGAATATCAATTTAATTTAAGTAATTTTTATTACTTTTTAAAAGTGCAGCTTTCAAAAAATTACCTGGTGATTCTGCCATTTGTTCAGTCACTTCCTGTTTTGGGGTGAAAGTGCCTTGTCCCTTTCTCCTAACCATACCCCTGCATTGTCACTTTGTTATAATGGCTTCCAATAGAGTATGCACATATAGACAGGATATATCTGCACAGAAGCTGCAGGAGATCTGCAACGCATGGTTAAAAAAAGGTAAAAACAAGTACACACAGCAGTTTTGTGTGGATGCATAGTGTTTTAGCAAACTAAATGTGATTTATATAAGGTTTACATCTACTTTAACTACTTGCCTACATGGCCGATTCCGACACTTCTCCCATACAAGTAAAAAACAGCATTTTTTGCTAGAACCCCCCAAAAATTATAGATTTTTTTTTAAGCAGAGGCAATACATAATAAAATGGAGGGTGTTGCAATTTTTTATGTCAGATGGTATTTTCGCAGCGTTTTTTCAAATGGAAATTTTTGGGGAAAAAATACACTTTAATGAATTTTAGTGAACACGACCACAATATCATACACAATTTTTTGGTAACATATAAAAGATTTTGTTACACCGAGTAAATAGATACCAAACATCATACTTTAAAATTGCGTATGCCCGAGGAACAACGGCAAACTACGTTACCTAAGAATCTCCATAGGAGACATTTTAAAAGCCTTTACAGGTAGAGATGAGCGAATCGAACTTGGCGAAGTGGAATTCATTTAGAATATTAGGAAAAATTCGATTCGCGCCGAATCCGAAAATTAGCAAGCTTCTGTTCCTTCTGATGGCCCAGGCCCGGCTTCTCCCCCTGGTCTCAGCATGTCTTTGGAGTGTGGGGGGAACTTGGAGTGTATGGAAGAAACCTGTGTAAGCTCCATGCAGATGGTATCTTGATTGGGACTCAAACCATGGACCTTAGTCCTGCAAGACAGATGTGGTAACCTTCTCCAGTCTCACCTAAAAAAAAAGATTTAAATATTGTGGTGCAAAAAAAGCTATTTCCCATTGCTGTTCTCTTTTGCTGTAAGTAGAGATGAGTGAATCGAACCTGGCGAAGTGGAATTCGTTTTGAATATTAGGAAAAATTCGATTCGCGTCGAATCCGAATATTAGCAAACTTCGGATGCGCGAATCGAATTTTCCCCGATCGGCCGATTTTCATCCCTTCTACAGCCAGCAAAAAGTGTCCCTGCAGAGAGCTCCGCTATTTCTGACAGTTCTCTGACAGTTCCTTCACATTTAAAGCGGTTGAAACATTGTATCTATTTGTTTCCATTTAGGATACAGATGTTTTTATTCGGAAACAAATAGATACAATGTTTCAACCGCTGTAAATGTGAAGGAACTGTCAGAGAACTGTCAGAAATAGCGGAGCTCTCTGCAGATACACTTTTTGCTGTACTGGAATTCTTCTTATTTTCATCCTACTTCTTCTTCTTCCTCATCTTCTTCTTCTTCATCCTCATCCTCTTCTTCTTCTTCTTCTTCTTCATCCTCATCCTCTTCTTCTTCTTCTTCTTCATCCTCTTCCTCTTCTTCTTCTTCATCCTCATCCTCTTCTTGTTCATCCTCATCCTCTTCTTCATCATCATCCTCATCCTCTTCTTCTTCATCATCCTCATCCTCTTCTTCTTCATCATCCTCATCCTCCTCTTCTTCTTCTTCATCATCCTCATCCTCTTCTTCTTCTTCCTCACCATCCTCCTCTTCTTCATCATCATCCTCTTCTTCATCATCATCCTCTTCTTCATCCTCATCCTCTTCTTCATCCTCATCCTCTTCTTCTTCATCCTCATCCTCTTCTTCTTCTTCATCCTCATCCTCTTCTTCATCCTCATCCTCTTCTACTTCTTCTTCTTCCTCATCTTCATCCTCTTCTTCTTCTTCATCATCCTCATCTTCTTCTTCTTCTTCTTCTTCATCCTCATCCTCTTCTTCTTCTTCTTCTTCTTCATCATCCTCATCCTCTTCTTCATCCTCATCCTCTTCCTACTTCTTCTTCATCTTCTTCATCATCATCCTCATCCTCTTCATCCTCATCCTCTTCTTCTTCATCCTCATCCTCTTCTTCATCCTCATCCTCTTCTTCATCCTCATCCTCTTCTACTTCTTCTTCATCCTCTTCTTCTTCTTCTTCATCATCTTCATCCTCTTCTTCTTCTTTATCCTCATCCTCTTTTTCTTCTTCTTCATCCTCATCCTCTTCTTCTTCTTCTTCTTCATCCTCATCTTCTTCTTCCTCATCCTCATCCTCTTCTTCTTCCTCATCCTCATCCTCTTCTTCTTCATCCTCATCTTCTTCCTCATCCTCTTCTTCTTCATCCTCATCCTCTTCTTCTTCATCCTCATCCTCTTCTTCTTCTTCATCCTCATCCTCTTCTTCTTCTTCTTCTTCATCCTCATCTTCTTCTTCATGCTCATCTTCTTCTTCTTCATCCTCATCCTCTTCTTCTTCATCCTCATCCTCATCCTCTTCTTCTTCCTCACCCTCATCCTCTTCATCTTCATCCTCTTCTTCATCCTCATCTTCTTCTTCATCCTCATCCTCTTCTTCTTCATCCTCTTCTTCTTCTTCTTCCTCATCTTCTTCTTCTTCTTCCTCATCCTCTTCTTCTTCTTCTTCCTCATCCGCATCCTCTTCTTCTTCTTCTTCTTCATCCGCATCCTCTTCTTCTTCTTCTTCATCCTCATCTTCTTCTTCTTCATCCTCATCTTCTTCTTCCTCATCCTCTTTTTCCTCATCCTCTTCTTCTTCTTCTTCTTCTTCTTCTTCTTCATCCTCATCCTCTTCTTCTTCTTCTTCATCCTCATCCTTTTCTTCTTCCTCATCCTCTTCTTCTTCTTCATCATCCTCATCCTCTTCTTCTTCTTCTTCTTCTTCTTCTTCTTCTTCTTCTTCCTCATCCTCTTCTTCTTCCTCATCCTCTTCTTCTTCCTCATCCTCATCTCTTCTTCTTCTTCTTCTTCTTCATCCTCATCTCTCTTCTTCTCTTCCTCATCCTCTTCTTCTTCTTCATCATCCTCATCCTCTTCTTCTTCTTCTTCTTTCTTCTTCTTCTTCTTCTTCTTCTTCCTCATCCTCTTCTTCTTCCTCATCCTCTTCTTCTTCCTCATCCTCATCCTCTTCTTCTTCTTCTTCTTCTTCTTCTTCTTCCTCATCCTCATCTTCTTCTTCATCCTCATCCTCTTCTTCTTCCTCATCCTCTTCTTCTTCTTCATCCTCATCCTCTTCTTCTTCTTCTTCATCCTCATCCTCTTCTTCTTCATCCTCATCTTCTTCTTCTTCTTCATCCTCATCTTCTTCTTCATCCTCATCCTCTTCTTCTTCAATTGAAGCTGCTTCTGCTCCGCCACTCTGCCATTGGACTCTTGATAGTCGTCTCCCCACACTGCTGCTGGGGGGACTTTTTAACATAGGCCTCTGTATGGCCTTCAATTTAAGCTGCTTACGCTTCGCCACTCTGCCATGGGCCCCTGTACCGCCTCCTCATGCTGCTGCCAGGTCCAGAGTGTCTCATGGGTCCCTGTACGGCCTCCCATTGCTGCTGTCTCCATCGCCACACTCTGCCATGTGCCACTTTCAGGTCTCCTCACACTGCTGGTGGGTTCCATTTTGTCATAGGGTGCTGGCAGATTACGGGCCTCCCATTGCTGCTGCCAGGCCCGTAATCTGCCATGGGCCCCCGTACCGACTCCTCATGCTGCTGCCAGGCCCGTAATCTGCCATGGGCCCCTGTACCGCCTCCTCATGCTGCTGCCAGGTCCAGAGTGTCTCATGGGTCCCTGTACGGCCTCCCATTGCTGCTGTCTCCATCGCCACACTCTGCCATGTGCCACTTTCAGGTCTCCTCACACTGCTGGTGGGTTCCATTTTGTCATAGGGTGCTGTATGGCCTCCCATTGCTGCTGCCTCCACCGCCACACTGTGGCTCCACACTCTGGTTTTGGCCCCGTGACTGCCCAAATGAGTGAAGTGTGCGGTGATTCTAAGATCGACGGCACTCATCTGCATGTCATACTGACTGACAGTATTATTTCTCTTCCCCAGCAGACTCCAAGGGCATTTAAATTAAAGGTACAGTGTTCTGCACTAATATAAAGGCTCTCTGAAGCCTAGAAACCCTTTTAATAAGTTAAATTCGCAGCGAATAAATTCGCATCGAATCGAATTTATTCCGCAAATTCGGCGAATCAGCCGAATCGAATTTTTGAATAATTCGCTCATCTCTATTTACAGGTTAACTGTTTGTAGTTACACAGGAGGTCTGGGGCTAAAATTATTGCTCTCGTTCTGTTTTTTGTGACAATATCTCACTTGTGTGGTGTGATCACCGTTTACGTATGCATTTTCATTTGCGTGGGGGAGATGGGGGCGCTTGAAATTTTTTTTTTTTTTACTTTTTTTTACACTGTCTCTTTATCAACTTTATTGCTATCACAAAGGATGAACAACATCCCTTGTGGTAGCAATAAGCATGACAGGTCCTCCTCTTTATTTAAAGATCTGGCCTTTCCTTTCCTTTCACCTCCAAAACAGACACAGATCAGTCTGATTGGTTGCTTCACTGGCCGGGAACCAACCAGTGAACACAGAACCGAAACCAGCATTGAAGAAATCCTCGTTGCTTTGGGTTTCTAACCTCACAGGGAGGGAGGAACAACGTCAGTTCCTCCCTCTCTGTATATCACAGCCAATGTGGCCAGTCACATTGGTCCATGGTCCCACCATCTGTAGAAGTGATCGAGTGGCTGTCCAACCACCCAAATCACTTCTACAAGAAACAGCATCGACTGCTAAAAAGTTTGATCCTGGGATGGTGCCTCTAGCTGCAGTCATCATCCCATTACAACCACTTAAACCTGACGATGTCATATGACGTCCACCCAGGGGAAAGTGGTTAAAGCGGCATCTATAAATTTTCTTTGGCTTTGGATAGAATGGGGAAGGGTTAGATTCTCTGTCAGCATTTTATTTCTGTCTGTATCCCCACTGGGGAGATTGTCTTTCACTTTTTGTCCGGGTGACATTTAAGCCAACTCTGTTAGCTGAAGTCTTATTATCACTCTCATTCTTACATTCCTCATATACTCTTAAGCTGGCCATACACCAGTAGAATATTATTCGAACGTTTGTACAGAGTTCGGAAATAATTATTAGAGCATTCAATAGTGCAATATGGGCTCAACATGTTAAATATAAAAACTCTGAAAATGTTCTGTTGACTTAAATGCTAATGATTTGAATCCCATGTTCAGTTTTGGGATTCACATGCGAATCACAGTAAGTTCAGTTTTTCCTGAACAAAAACAATATTCAAAGCAAGAATTTTGTTTGTTCAAGAAAACAATTCCCATCCTTTTCATGATTTTTCTTGTCGCTAGGGTTGAAAACAGTTGTCAAATTGACCCCATTAACAATGTGAAAACTGAAAAAATATTTCAAAAAACAATTTTTCTAGTCGAATTTTGTTGTATGGCCAGCTTTCTTTACGAAAAGTTGAGGAAGATAATGATGATGTTGTATTGCCTATCTGTTGGCTGCACTTAATTTGTCATTCACACCCTACTGCTCATACATTTTCATGCATAGGCGCACACAGCTGTAGGCAGCCCATTCATTTTGAATAGGCTGTTAGTACACCTCAACTCAGGAAACATCTCATATTCACGAGTTTTAGGTCTACAGCACACAACAATGCCCAAAGTATCCATATTTATGTGGAAGCAGATACAAAACCCCCTGCGCTCAGAGACCCAGATCAGAATACAGCGGGTAAAACCATATATAAAGGTTCATCCAATGGCCGATCAAAGGTTGTTCAGCTTAAACACAAGGCTGGGGAAGCCAAATAGAAACTGTAACAGAGAACAAAAACAAAAGCGCACTAACCTTGTGCATTACCTCAGTAAGTAAAGGGTGAATTCATTAAATTGAAATATATATACTCACAAAAGTAGCATAGGTAAAAGCATATAAAATCCAACATCAGCGTACTAAAAATAGCACAGGTGCAGGTCCCATAGAGAGGGGAGACTCTCAGAATGAAGCTGATGTGTTTCAAAGGGGGATCCCTTCTTCCTCACGGCTCTGAGGAAGAAGAAATCCTTTTTCGAAACGCATCAGCTTCATTCTGAGAGTCTCCCCTCTCGATGGGTCCCTTTTTCCTCAGAGCTCTGAGGAAGAAGGGATCCCCCTTCTAAACGTATCAGCTTTATTCTGAGAGTCTCCATTCCCAATGGGACCTGCACCTGTCTGCTATTTTAGTATGCTGATGTTGGATTTTATATGCTTTTACCTATGCTACTTTTGTGAGTATATATCTCAATTTAATAACTCCACCCTTTACTTACTGAGGTAATACACAAGGTTGGTGCGCTTTTGTTTTTGTTCTCTGTTACAGATCCATATTTATGTGCTGCATTATTAGTGAATGTGCATTTTTTTTGTTTTTGTGTGGTTTTTTTTCTGTATATGTGCATTGGGTTTCAACAACACACACCAATCACCATAACTTTATGGCCACCCACCTAATATTGAGTAGGTCTCCCTTTTGCCACCAAAACAGCCCTGACCCTTTGAGACATGGCCTCCACTAGACCTCTGAAGGTATTCGGTGGTATCTTACACTAAGCGATCAGTGGCAGATTATTTAATTCCTGTAAATTGAGGTGAGGCCTCCATGGATCGGACCTGTTTTTCCAGCACATCTCACAAATGCTCAATTGAATTGACATCTAAATAATTATTGGATAGACATCTGGAGAATACATTGTTGTGTTCCTCAAACCAAGGCCACTCCCATCAGGGAATACCATTTCCATGAAGAAGTGTATTTGGTCAGCAACAATGTTTAGATAGGTAGTATGTGTCAAAGTAACAACCACATGAATGGTAGTATCCAAGGTTTCCCAGCAGAACATTGCCCAAAGCAACACACTGCCTCTGCAGGCTTGACTTCTTCCCGTACTGCATTCTGGTGCCATCTCTTCCCCAGGTAAGTGATGCACACACACCCAGCCATCCACATGATGTTAAAGAAAATGTGATTCATCGGGCCAGGCCACCTTCTTCCATTGCTCTGCGGTCAAGTTCAGATGCTCCCATTGCCATTGTAGATGCCTTTGGCTGTGGACACGGGTCAGCATGGGCACCTTGACTGGTCTGCAGCTACGCAGCCCCTTACACAAAAAACCACAATGTCTGTTTTTTTTCTGCTTTCAACATGTCAACTTCAGGGACATGTGTACTTGCTTCCCAATATATCCCACCGACTTTCATATGCACTTTAACAAGATAATAAATGTTATTACCTAACTTGTCTGTGGTCATAAGGTAATGACTAATCGGTGTAGACATTGTGTTACTGTTTGTTGCAGTAGCATGGATTAAAGCTGCACTAAGCATTATTAGCATGCCCTATGATCAAACTCTAATAACGTATATTATCTAAAGCACTAATGAAAGACTTATTGTATATGCTGTAATCTCCCTTCTTTGGCTAGGAAAAATCGAGGATGATAATGATGATGTTGCAGTATTGTCTATTTGTCCATTTTCAGGCACCTATCTTACTCATGAAGCCAAGGGATCAGATGACGCTCCCGATGCCGACACAGCCATCATCAACGCAGAGGGCGGACAAGGCGGAACTGATGACAAAAAGGAATATTTCATATAAGCTCAAATCCTCCTCCTGATAATGTAACAACGGCAACAAGATCAACAAATAAGTTAACACCGGAAAAATACAAAAACGGCATCAGAACAAATTGATACCAATCTTTGGCAAAATTTGACTTGGATGACTCTCTTTCTCTAACAGGGCCAAAAACAGGATGGAGGGGAGAGAAAGGGACAGTCGACTGAGAGATCGTGCTTCTTAAACAAACTTGTACAAAAGTTATTACTAAAAACTCTTTAAAAGGTTAAAAAATTGCTTGCTTAAATCTACATATCTTCAGTGAACGCACTATTCTAACAAAACAAATAATAATCGTGAGTTCAAATATTTTTCGTTTATTTTCATTTACGATGTGTACAAAGTTTTATGTTTTTATTTTTTACTTTGGAATGTTGGGATGGGGTGGGGTGGGGGGGTGGGTCAATGGGAGAAAGCATATTTAAATATATTTAGTGTTTTTGTTTTTTGTTCTTTTTTCAGGGTAATTTAAACAGGTAGGATAGGCATTTTCTAGAAAAGAGTGTTATACGTCAGGAATACTTGAAGAGCAATTTCTAAGGTGCCACAATTAAAGCTTCCATTTAAAGACCTGTATAGTTACGGCTCTCATGATGATCCCTTTTTTGCAGTCGTTGGCGACTTTTAGCTCTGGCTCGAGAAAAGGTTAAATGAGCGCGTTGGCACTTGAAGAATGAGACGTTAAGTGAAACACTGGATTATGGGAAGTTATGTCAAGGAAGACAGGTGTAGCTCCCAGTTAAGTCCCCCCGCTCCCGTCATAGTGGGGGGGTAAGTGTCCCTAACCGAGTTTGCTTATGCTAATCAGGGTCTCGGTTTCGCACAGAAAAAGAAAAAGGCACAGTGTTATTTGTTTAGTGTCATAAATGTTTTTGCTATGTTTAAATTTTTTTGTCATTAGCCCAGTCTGAAAACAGGTCTTAATGGAACATTTTTGTATGGTAAGGCTAATGACTGGCCAATCGAAATATTCCATATTGGAATGCTATGACAAATGAGCTGCCATCTGAATTGTTGGTTGAGTTTAATGGAACATTTTGATTGGCCAGTCTGTCAAAAAAAAAAAGAAGAGAAGTGGTACCTTTTGGCCATATTTACCACATATATGCCTCATTTGTTGTTTTAGCAGTGTGGACTCCATTTTTCACAGAACTGACTGCATTATTCATCTGGAAGAGTTACTGATATTAACCAATAAATCTCTGTATAATGTCATATTCTGTATGTACCAAGCTTGGCATAAATTACTATTATTATTTTAATTGTTTTTTTTTTTTTTTTGCTATGTTGCTGTTGCATTGTCCATCCTTTTATAATGTTGCTTCATTCACAAAGATCTTTATTTAATAACATGGCACAGAAAGCAATGATTTGCAGTAATTAATAGCAACTGATTCCA